CCCACCTCTTCTGCGTCTTCAAGCGTTTGTCCCCCAAGCACTTTACAAAAATCTATTCCAGGTTTAAAGAACTTTGAAGTGAAAGTGTGGGTTCTCTGTCTTGTGGGAAATATGAGACTCGAAACCCTAAATATCGAAATCTGACTCACGCAGCCTTTATAGGAGAAAAATTTCAGCGCATTGGTTAGGCCCAAATAATATGCTCATCTAGGGAAATGCATGACTTTTTTGATCAGGCGACTGCTTGTGATCAAAAAACGTAGGCGTCAGTCAGCCAGTCTTTTGGGAAGGAAATGACTATGTTTTGGTTTTCACTCGTTTCGTTTTCACGTATGAATATCCTAACCGTGACCAGCGAGCCTTCCTTTGTAACTAGAAGAAAAAAAAGTAGGAAGAAGAGATTCAGCAAAACCAACCAACATCTCAACTAGTCCCACACCTCTGTAAAGGAGGGAGGAAATTTTCTCAAAGGAGGGAGCATTTTCTCAACTTTGGGTGGTGTAGTGGTGATGGAATCTTAAAATAGGTCTTCCTCTCTCTGACCAAAGCTTTCAGATATCTTGAGCAAGGTGGAGCAAATGGTTGGACGGAAGTACAACTGATTTCGGGACAGGCTCAAGGACTGAATTTTAAAGAGTATGGATTTCTTAAACAATATCACTTAGTGGTGAAATAATTTAGTGGATTGTCCTTGGCCTTGTCTTGGTAAACATTCTTTCCCCCAGTGAACTGAAAGAATCCATAGATGACATATTTGTAAAATTTACAATGAGGGGGTCCTGTGAAAGATGCTAAATGACAGTGCTGGGATCTCCGAATATTTCTGCCACCTGAACATTGGGTTGAATCTAATAAGACGAACTTCCATAGCAACGAATTCAAACTCCTACATTAGAGTAAAAAAAAAAATCAACTGCACAGCTATAGAATCGGGTAGATGTAGCTAGAATGAGCAGTTTAAATGAAAAAAAACCCTGCGTTTGTAGTGATTGCAAATTAAGTCAATATTGAAGCGACACCATTGCAACCAGTGTTAGATATACATCAAAGAAAACAAATAAATTTTCAGTTTTCCAAGATGTTCATAGAAGAACTATGGGAGGCAATGGAGTGAAGTGACTTGACCAGGGTCATATAGTTTCAAGTGTCTGAGGTCAGATTTGAGGGCTGGTGCTCTATCCACTGCACCATCTAGCTGCCCCTATAGAAGAACTTTTTAAAAGTTTTATTGATATACTTTATTCTAACATTACCATCATTTCCAATATATCCTTTCCCCTTTCCCTAGAGAGCAATACTTTGTAAGGAAGAATAAAAAAGAAAGTGTGTGTGTGGTGGGGAGGAGGAGGAAGGGGAGGAAGCTGTTCAGCAAAACTAACCAATATGTCAATCAAGTCTGATATGTAATGTTCTCTACCAAGAATTCTCCACTTCTGCAAAGAAGGAAGGGAGGGAGGGAGGAGGTTATTGACAAAAAGAAAAGCTCCATATAAACCAACATATTTGTAGCAACACTTTTTGTGGTAGCAAAGAACCAAAAACAAAGTTAATGTCCATTGATTTTAGAATTTTACTGTGCTATAAGAAAAGAAAGAACATGATGAATAAGGTGGTGCAGAATGAAATAAGCAGAACCAGGAAAATAATAGTCATAATGACTACAACAATGTAAATGGAAGAAACAATGACAAAACAATTGAAACTGAGCATTGTGAAATTATAATGACCAAACTGGGTCCCAGAGAAAACATATGAGAACACATCTCTCCCCACCACCCTTTGCAGAGATGTGGGTCCATGGGTGAAGAGCACTGTATTTACCATCAGACTTTTTCCAGGTTGGGATTTGTTTTGCTAAGTTTTTTTTCTTCCTCTTCTTTTAAAAATCTTTTTGTTAGAACAGATGACTCTCTGGAAAGGAAGAAGGGAAAGGCCAATGGGAAAAGTAGTGATGTAAAAACATATCAATAAAATCTGTCTTTAAAAAGAAAGAGGAAGCTTATAGGAGTACTTCTAGGAGGAAAGAATGGAAAGTAAAGTCTGTCTATGGATTAGGGAATGGTGAACAAGTTGTGACATAATATAATGGATTTGAACCCCAAGACACAGTCATGAAGAATTGAGGGGAATGTTAGGCAAACTTGTATGATAGAGAAGGAAGAAATTCAGGGGAGCAATTTATCTCTCCTATGACAATGTCATAAAAAAACCCCAACATTGAAAGAATTCAAAACTCTGACCAATACAGTGAATAAAAGTAACACTGAATGATATGAAAGTGAAGCATACCTTCTGCATCTTTCAGCAGAGAAAATGAACACAGTGAAGCACACGTTTTCAGATATGGCCAGTGAATTGATTTGTTTTGCTTGACTCTTATCACAATGGAGGGTTCTGTGTGTGTGTGAAGAGTCGTTGAGAAGTGACAATAACGTGAAAAAAAGAGAACAACAACAAAACATTTTATAAAAACAGAAAATGGGCACTTTTTAAGTGGACTTCTCTGATATATAACTTCCATGAAGAATGGTTCTGGGGAAAGTTTGGAAAGCTGGTGTAGGGTTATTCAGTAGGGATGGGGCAAAAAGGGAGATGGCCAGGAGGGAAGGGCCTGGGAAATGAAGCAGAAAGGAAGAAAGGTAAAGTAGGAGATGTGGGATTGTTGGCTTCTAACATGCTTTTCTCTATGCTTATACCTTCTGTTTCACTTTTCTATAGTTGGATTTCTTTACAACACAACTCTAAAGCTGCCGCCTTCTCCAGGAAGACAGCCCTGATCCCTCCTGTCTGCTGAGACCTCACACAGCACTTTGTTTTGCACCCCCCCCAAGTATTTATCTTGTGATATATCTTATAGTTAACCTGTAATCAACAGGATTATATATAACCCATTATTGAGAATTACAGACTTAAACATAGGAGATTCCCTCATTTTCCAGATAAGGAAATTGAGGCCCAAAGAATTGTTTAAGGTCAAATAGGAAAAAAGTAGCAGAGTCAATATTTTTCTTTTCCTTCCCAGGTCAACGAGCATTTAATCAAGAGCTTATGATATGTTGGATACTGTGCTAAGGGATGGGGAGACAAAGAAAGGCCAAAGACAGCCCTTCCCCTCAAGAGCAAGTTTACTTCTTTTAAGGGTAGAATTTCAGCCCCAAGCTTCTGCAGAACCCCAAATTTAACTCTGCAGAATGTCTTTGTGTGGTCCTTCCCTCCCCCCTCCCCATATCCTGTTATTGCAGAATTAATGGAGCAATAAGAAAACAGGACTGTATTGGGTATATTGTGGTAAAGAAGCCGATTTAGGGTTTGAACCCATGTATCCCGTGCTTTCTACTTGCTACTTAAGGAGTGTTGTCATCCCTAATCCCTAGAACAATCAAAAACAAATTTGCAGGTCTCTCCCACCCCATTCCAATTTATTCTCCCAATAATTCTTACGCATAACCTGGGCTCAGGAGGATTGGTCCTGTAGCCAGTTGAATAGACTAGATTCAAGACTAGAGAGAACAGGTTTTTTTGTTTTTGGTTAGGCAATGGGGTGAAGTGACTTGCCCAGGGTCACACAGCTAGTGTCGTGTGTGTCTAAGGTCAGATTTGAACTCAGGTCTTCCTGAATCCAGGGCTGGTGCTCTATCCACTTCACCACCTAGCTGCCCCCAAGAGAGAACAGTTTTGATTGGCTGTTACTATTACAGGATCTTGTAGCAGAAGAGGAGATGGAAGAAGAGAGGCAGAATTTTTCCTGGGGTGATAGGAATCCAGGATCTTCTAACAATTTAACCAACCTAAACATGAAGACAAAATCTTTGATAGCTTTTTTCAGACTACCTCCCAGTCCTCCTCTGTGCTGGAGAAAGTCTTAGGGAAAGGCAAGTCGTAGCTAATGAAGAACAAATGTTTGTCAGCGCATCTTCCCCCCCCCCACCAAAGAGGTAGTTTAGGTGAGAAGCCTCTCCCTCCTCACTCACACTTGTTTCCAAATGTGCCTCTTCCAAGTATCTTGGGAAGAGTCTTATTTGTCGAGGATGTTTGAACACATTGTTGAACTGGTTTGTAGATCGTAAGGAAAATTTCAAAGGAAAAGGGATTGGGAACTTTCTGTGCGTAGCCCAAGGTCGTGGAGTGTTAGGTGAGTTTCCCTAGAGGTAAAATGTCAGCGGGTGTGTTTAAATTACCTAACTATAAGTTCTAATACGAACAGTCTGAGAAGCCCTCAAGGAAAAGCTTTCAGATTTGCCTTTTTTTTTTTTTTAACAGTTTCCCTGATCGAGGTAAGAGAAAGCTACAAGGTCCCCACCATAAACTGGAGGGTTCTGAGGAGTGGTAGGGAATTATACAATTAGAGATTTAGGACCAGAAATTATTTTAGAGACTAATAGCGAAGCTGGAGGACGCTGCAAGGCATTCTTGGCCTCCAGCGCCGCCTGAATTATTAGCAATGCTACTCTGTTCATTGGAATACTCTGGGAATAGTGAAAAAGATTCTCTTGTGCACTTTATTCTTCCCCAAACTGAAAAATCTGAGCGGCGCTTGGGACTTTCTTTGTGACAAGGGAGACTGGAATTATTCTGAAGCAAACTTCTCTGGACTACGTGCTTGTCCCTTTCTCCCGCACCCCATCCCACCCCACTCCCTCCCCTACATTCCCTATTGTTGTTGTTGAGTCGTGTCCGACTCTTCGTGACCCCGTGGACAAGTCCATGGGTTATTTTTTGTTTGTTTGTTTGTTTTGGCACAGATACTGAAGTGGTTTGCCATTTCCTTCTCCAATGTGTCCAATCCCCCCACTCTTTTTTTTCTTTTACAGATGAGGAACTGAGGCAAATGGGGTTAAGTGACTTGCAAATTTGAACTCAGATCTTCCCGACTCTAGACCTAACCACTGTATCCACTGCATCACTTAGCTGCCCACTACTCTTTCCCCTCCCCATATCTAAAATCAGTTGCAAGTCCTCTGGATTATACCCTCCCCCTCACCTCCCCAACTCCTCTCTATCATAGCGCTGTCATTCAAATTTAGACTCTTGCCGCTTAACATAGACTCGGTAATAACTACACTAACTTGTCAGAGTTACTCAGTTACCCAAACAGAAAGGCTTCCGAGGCCCAAAACTGCTTGACATACCAGTAATCCTTTGAATGAACTCTAGCTGAATTTGGAGATACCTGGAGCAGCCAGAAATCACAGAATCAGTCTTGACCAGCTCAAGCGCAACCTTGAATAGCAGATGCAGACTCAAGACCTTGCTCCAGACTTTTTAAACATTCTGCTGTCTGGTTTATTGTGTTTACAGCTGTCTTCTCCCTTAATCTTCCCACTCCCCACCCCCAAGCCTCTAGAAACTCTATCATCTCACACTTTTTCTACTCCCCTTTGAACATCTGAAAACTCTGTCTCTCTGTCTCTCTGTCACTGTCTTTGTCTCTCTTCCCCTTCCTTCCTTGCAAGCTTTTCTCAGATGATAAACGCTTTGTAATCTGTGATCAGGCTCTGTTTCATTTAGGGTCCCTTTTGGGGCCTGAGGTCTTCCTTTAACACATCACCTCACTTTGAAATAGGGTTTGGAGTGGTCCGCCAGCCTCCAGCTTCATCTCCAACCCAGGTATTCCATAGATGCTAGAATAAATTGCCTAAAACAGAGATTTGATGAAGAGACTTTCCTACTTACTATTCTTCAATGTTTTCCAGTGACATAAAAATGAAAACTTCTTAGTCTGGCATTGAAGCCTCTCCATTATCCAGCTACCTTTCTAATTCTTATTTCACTTGTACCCTCTTTCCTTCACTCTACATTCCAGCCATCCTGGAGCACGAAACCGTTTCCCAAATTTCAGCTGCCGTCTGTCTCCCTCCTCAGTGCCTTCTCCCGAGAGGTCTCCTTATGAACCTCTGCTTTCAGGCTCCTAGAGATTTCCTCATAAAAGCGTAGCTCAGGTTCCGGTTGCTCCGTTTTTCCTTTCTCTGATGACAGGAAGCGAGATCATCCTATTCTCTCCAAATACTCCTGGAGCACTTTATCTGTTTCCTTGCCCCATCACGACCGAAACTGTTTTAGATGTTTCTCCATTTTTCCTTTAGAATGTGAACTCCTCGAGGTCAAGGTCTTCCTCGTTTATATATCCCCAGCCTTGCAAAAGGAGGGTTCTTGGTAAATGCCTGTTGAATTGCCTTTAAAAATATGCACTTAATAATAATTATAATAAATTAGCCAAATAGCCTCGTTGCTCTCTCTCTTTTCCCTACAGATTAGACCTATTATTATCCTACTCAGTTTGGTCTCAGCCTCTCTGTCCCCTCTAAATGTGACTTCCCTTCTCTTCATTCCCTAGGACAGCTATGAGCTAAGCTTCAGTGGCCCCCACCAGCTGAACTTACTTTCTCACTGGACTCACCAGAGATTTTCCCCCACATCTCCCCGCCTCCCCCCCTTTTCTGTCCTCCGGAGCTCTCACACAGGGGAACAAGGAGGAGGAGAAGTTCCTTCCTTCCCCTCGCTTTCTGCGGCTTTTCTCTTCTCCTCCGGGCCACTTCTGCTCGTCTGTGGGGCCTTCTCCTCCCTCCTCACTGGCTCTTGGCTTCCTAATAGTTAACTCCCGAAAACTGGAGAAGAGTTCAACAAGACAGCTTTTGTCCTGGCGCTGGAGCGCAGGCATGTCGCCCTCTGTTTTTCTCTGCGGTCTTTGCCTACGGTGTGGAGCCTGTCTAAGGCTGCAGAGCCATCTAGGACCCCCTGGTAGTCTCCTTAGGTGTGTAGGAGAGTGGCCTGCTCGGGGCCAGAGACAAGGCGCTTTTGTGTGGGTCCTAGATGTGCAATCTCATTCTGTAGGCACAGGGTTAACTGCTTCACCCCTTGCAGGAACACCCAGCTTTGGGCACATGGAAAGAGTCTCATTCGGACGCAGCCAAAGTTCCCACTATTTCGTACCTTGAGCTACTTTGCTGACGAGCAAACTTGTATTTTTCCAAGTGAAGAAACAGAGAGTGGTTTTGAGTAAGTCTGGCTTGCTCCTTTCCCTTCAGACTTTGGGGCAAATAACCAGCTACACAAGGCACTCCCACGGTCACTCCAGAGTCAAAAAGAAGCGGAGGATCTTCAGAGAAGACCAATTTTTTTTGACTGGAATTGAAAGTGAAAGCACTGATTCCGGATCGCTAGACCAGTACAAAGAATTTCCAATCCAAGAATTAGGTGCGTAGTCTTACTGTCTCTCGGCTTTGACTAGTTCGACTGTGATTCCGAGTCTCCTAAATTCCGGATTCTTCACTGTCCAAGGGTGAATAAGATACATCTTCAGAACAAGCTCCCTGCAAAGAGAACGGGAAACTCGTGGCCACGTTAGCAGTTAGGAGCCAGCCTTCCAACTTGAGGTATACTTAAAGCCCTGGGCACACTGGACACACTTAGGACAAATGCCTCTCTTCATGAAACCCCTGCACACAAAATCGCCGTGGAGGATGCGGGTATCGATCCCGCTACCTCTCGCATGCTAAGCGAGCGCTCTACCATTTGAGCTAATCCCCCATTCCCATAAAAGCACTACTTCTGGTTCCTCTTACGACATTCTTAGGTAGGTAGAGTTGGCGTTTTTTCTGGTGAAATTTAAATTTTAATGGAGAATACAACAAGAGGGAAAAACTAAAAATTGTTAAATAGTAGAGATAGGAAGAAGGAGAAGCAGGCTAGCAAAGCAGAGAGAAGGTGGGTATGACCACAGGGCGATTGGTAAAACAGAAACTGGGCACAGCGAAGGGGAAGGATCCCTGCAGGATTTGCAGGAAAGGCACCCTGTGCCTTGCACCACAGAACAATCTCCTCCACCGGGAATCAGGTTCTTGGGAGGTTCTCTCCAAAGACAGACACTTCTCTGAAGCTGGATCGCTGCAGGCGGTCCATTCTCCAAGCTGAAGCTGAGCTCTGCTACACACAGGCCTTTTTAGTAACAGACTATTCAGGGATAAGGACTCCACCTTGTGGATGGGACACGGGGTGAATGGGTCTCTCTATAAGTGAATGGTGTACGCATTTTGCTCGTGGTACAAAAGTAGTAGAAATTTGCTGAGCGTGACAGAATTGTCTTTCGTGGATAAACAAAGCACAACACCTTTGTATGTGTGAGGCGGGAGCTAACTGGGTCGTGAAAGGAAAGGTCACATTTCGTAGGGATCACGCGAAAGGTACCAGTGCAATTCAGTCCAAATCGTTCCTTTGTATCTTTCTGCTTCTGGCCCTTTGTGCCACAGATACAAATGGGTAGAGTGCTGGGCCTGAATTAAGGAACGGTTTGTTCAGTCTTTTTTCAGTCCCGTCAGCACGCTTTCTGACTCCATTTGGGGTTTTCCTCACCTGAGTTCAAGACATTGGTAAATCACTTTTAAGTTCAGGTCCCTGTACTCTAAAATGTAGTTAAAATTGAACACCAACCTCTGGTGCTGACGTTAGGAGCAAACGAGATTATATTTGTAAGGTGCCTAGCACTGTTCAGGCCTAGCATTTAGTAGGTCCTTGATAAAGGCTTATTCTTTTCCTCCTCCCTTCCTGCCCTCTTCCCCCACATATTCCTGGGTGAGAATCTTTGCAGCGAGGCATAGTTAAACATCAGTCTCCGATTAATAGAATCCATATGCCAGAAATATTTTCAGCCCTCCATCATTCTTCAGGTACAATCACAGACTAGAGAATGGGGTGGGGAGGGGGAAGCATCCTTTTTTGGGGACTTTGGTTACTAAGGACAGTTGGAAGAGTGGGAGATTTAAAGAATGCTAGCTAAATGCCATCTTTATCCAAGTTATACAAAAACTGTAACTAGCATTGGATCAAGGACAGATACCTGCACCTTAACACTCAAAGTTGATATTTATTTAAGTTAGTACCCTTTAGGTGTGGTCCTTAAGACCAATTATATGAGGGTTAAGTGACTTGCCCATGTCGTGACCAACTTAATCGGCTCACTTTGAAGACTCAAGACCAGCTTGATCTTCTATCTCGAATACGCATTGATGAGCTGGGAGGCAGGATGGAAGCAACTCCGTTTATTTCTAGCAAAACACTTATTTATATAGTAAAATAACAGGAACTCTGCCCCAAGTTACAATGACGTATAACCCATGCTGTGCTCAAGGACAGCGCATGCACAGTCCGTGCACTTATCTACCACCAATCACAAATACACTGTTAATGACTAATGAGTAACTAGAAAGTTAGAGTTGCATAGAATGGAGCACCGAACCAGACAGCCTTGCTCGGGGACCAGCCCCCGAGAGGGGCCTCAGCCCTTCAGTGAGATCTCGTGAACCGTCTGTGGCCCTCTACATCCTTACAGATCCCTAACATGCCCAGGGTCACACACCTAGTTAATTGTCAAGTGTCTGAGGCTGGATGTGAACTCAGATCCTACCGACTCCAGAGCTCTAGCCACTGTGCCACCTAGCTGCCCCCACCCCCAGACCAATTTTAAATCCACCTAACCTTGCTACTACCTAGATTACATCAATACATATCGTCTAAAAGAATAAAATGAGAGTTCCTCAGGTGTTTTGTTGAAATTAAGGGACCCTATGTATACAGCATTCACCTACAGTCTAGTAACCCTTTATGAAAAGAAAATGAATACACCCTTCCTTTCTTTGGAAAGGTGGGGTTCTATGAGAGTGGAATGTTGTATATGCTGCCAGTGTTGATTCATTTTGTTGACCTTTATTTTTCTCTTAAAATCTTGATTATAAGGAAAGATTAATTGGGTAGGAAAGAAGAGAGGATTGTATATGAAAATTAATGTGAAGTAAAAAACCACAAGGCATCCAAAAAAATGAAATTAGGTTAATCTGGCATGACATGTTCTTGATAAAGAGTATAGTACAGTGCCTGGAATATAGTGCTTAATAATGTGCATTAATTGATTATTTGTTGAAGTTATACTGGCTCTTAGTGATCACCATTTCCTTTTCCAAATACACACAAACCATCCCTTTAATATTAGAAGAATCAAAGCTAAGCTCACTGGCCTAGATTGTACATTTCACCCTCTTCTCTTTGGGAGTAATTGGGAATATTTGTCTTTTTTCAATCTTACAGCATCTCCTGAGTTCAAATCCAACCTTAGACACAAAACTAGCTGTGCAACACGATCCCATCTCCTTTCAGTAGCCTGGGATACTGTTCAACCAGGCCTGGTGACTTTAGTGCATAAAGGGCAGCCTGTGGCTCATTCCATTTTCTAACTTGGGTTTCAATGTCCTGTGACTCATTTTTATTCTATCATTCCAAGTCAAAGGTCATTATCCTGATGAAAATAAAGGATGGAAGGGATAAGTAATAGAAACAATCAAAGCCATGCTCCTTTTGAAACTCTGAGTGACTGAATTTGCAGGGTATAACAGGAAGGTAATAGGGACCCCTTCAGACTTTGAAGCATAATATTTACATCTTGTAAAGTGTACCCCTTTCAGACTTTGAGTGTCTATCTGCATATACAGACAGGGTCAGGAGAGCCTGATAACTGTCAGAGACAATGGATTTGGGCTGAGATGGCTTGGCAAGAGTTTTAAAGAGCAAAAGACTCCTGGAGTCCAGTGAAGTTAACCCTGGAAGTAGGGAAGAGAACCAGCTAAAAAGTCTGCTCCTGCGTTTTCTTTTAAAGGTACAGGTTGAAAAAGAGGACACTGAGGGAAGAAGGGTGTTTCCAATCTGGAGTCCTATCTCTGCTATTTCTTTCTTTTTTTTTTTTGTTTTTTTTTTTTTTGGTTAGGCAATGGGGTTAAGTGACTTGCCCAGGGTTGCACAGCTAGTTTTGTGTCTAAGGTAGCATTCGAACTCAGGTCCTCCTGAATCCAGGGCCCCTACGCTATCCACTGCCCCACCTAGCTGCCACCTCTACTATTTCTTTCTAAAGCTTTTGAGATGACAAAGTTTGAAAATCAAAACTCTCCAGTAAAACCCTCTTCTTCTCCCTAATGTCCTTTCAAGAAAATGGTTTATCACAATAAAATGTAAGATCCTTGAAACCAGGGCCTCTATAATTTTTGTTTTTATATTTCCATTATTTTGCAGGTGGTTAATATTTAATACATTTTTTTAAATCTAACTGAATTGAAATGAAGTAACAGATGCCCAAAGTGTGTCCTTGATTGCCTTTTCTTTAAAGAAAATTTGAGATTTTGTTTGAAATTTCCACATTAGTAACTTCTAAGGGGCCATAGATTTTTTCTTTTTTAAAATTCTAAAAATTTATTTTTACAAGTTTTATTGTCCCCCCAGCAATTTTTTAAACCTCTCACAGTAAATATGCATAATGTAGCAAAACAAATACTTATATTGGTCATTTACATATATTCTGTCTCGTTCAGGATTTTAAGTCAATAACTTCTCTGATTTGAGGGGAGATGGTATGATTCACCTTCAGTCTTTGTGGTCTCCTGGTATATCATTGGATTATTTGGAGTTCTAAATCTTGCAAACTAGTTTTTCCTCTATAATGTTTCTGTCACATGTGTATTGTTCTTCTAATTCTGTTCACTTCACTCTGCATCAGATCATAAAAGCCTTGCCATTTTCCTCTGAAATTGTCCACTTTGTCTTTTTTTTCTAATGGCAATAGATTATTCCATTACATTCATATACCACAACATGGTTAGCCATTCTACAATAGGAGGGAATCCCCTTAGTTTCCAGAGGGTTTTTTTTTCTACTATGAAAAGAATTGTTATAAATATTTTTGTATAATGGATTCTTTTCCTCTATCTTTAATTTCTTTGAGGTGTAGGCCTCATTATAACTGGGTCAACGAATTTAGTAACTTTGGGACATAGTTCCAAATTACTTATCAGAATGGCTGGAAATATTCTTGATTTCATGGACATTTCTGGGACAGTCATCTGCTTCTATCAATGAGACAGTGAACAAGCCAATATCAAGATACTATTATACTGTTTTGGTCTCAGAGGTTGAGACCCCTCAAAGACCAAAGCACAGGACAGGTCATCTGGAATGAATTCATAGACTCAAGAATTCTTTAAGTCAAGGTGGCAAAGATTTATTGTTACGCTTTTCATCGGGCAAGGATTCTTAAGGAACCTGTGATCTTAGACGGGTACAGTTAAAGTTTATGTAGGATAAAATACAATAAAACATGTGCTGAATATGCTAACTAGGTGATTCAGAGTGGGATTAGGGAGTGGTTAAGGAGTGGTCAGTTCTTAAAGGAACATGCACTTCTTGTACCTACTGCACTCTTTTACCCAGAGTTCACTACGAAAAGCCCACAAGGGGGGCCACATGGCGGTGTGGTTGTAGGCCTGCTATGTCACTAAGTTAACTAGTGTCAGGGACAACTGAGAGGTGTCCAGTCTGCCACTAGTCAATGTCTTGTTTAACAAGATAGATGTAGGGAGTATACGTATGTCCTAAGTCTAGAATACAGATAATGTGGAGTCCAGGATGTAGATAATGAGGTAGGGCAATAGTATAGATAGTCTAGTGGGTAAGAATATCTTTATGACCCAGTGCAAAGCCAGTTTAAACTAATAATTCCTTCAGGTGCTGTTTGTAACTGCACCAGGAAAAGAGATAAAGGTCTTGATGGGGCCCACTCATGAGTAATTGCTAGGCACAGTGTCCTTGGGCAAGGGAGAAATTGTCAGAGACAGTGTTTCTGAGGCTAGGGAGAAAGTGGGGTCCAAGCACAAGTACCCAAACATAAGCACCCAAGCACCCCATCAATATCAGTTTTATTGGGGGGAGGGGGGGAAGAATAGCTAGGTGGTACTGATGGGGTGCCCCAAAGAGAATCTGGCTCCCCTTTGTCTATGGGCCCCAGCCCCTCATTTCCCTTTGAAAGCCTTAGCCTACCTTTTAATCTCATTCAGATACCTTTTAGTTCCTTCATTATCTATTCCCATTGTCTATTCAATCTCTTAGACATTCCAATCTCTGGGTATTCTCACCCAGACCATTTTCCCAGACCCTTCCCTGGTCACCCAAAGTATATAAGATCTACCCTGGCCCTCATTCGGGGCTGAGAATCTCATGCCCAAAAGGCTGAGAACCTCTCATGCCCGTTCATCCTTGCGGGCATCGCCTGGCCTAAGTGTTTTATCACTAATAAACTTTTCCTCTGGCTGAAGAAGATTTGAGTTGAATTCATTCAGGCAGGACCCAGTACCGCGATCTTGGGGTTCCAGCAGCACCCCAAAAGTCCTAGACCTCTTCAATACAATGAATACAGTGCTGGGCCTGGCGTTAGGAAGACTCATCTTCATGAACTCAAATTTGGCCTCAGATACTTACTAGCTGTGTGATCCTGGACAAGTCACTTAACCCAATTTGCCTCAGTTCTTCATCTATAAAACGAGCTAGAGAAGGAAACAGCAAACCATTCAAGTTTTTTTTCTTGCCAAGAAAACCCCAGATGGGGTCATGAAGAGTCAGACTTGACTCAGCAGCAACAATGTAATAGCAGTTACTGTGCTAAAGAAGGGCATCCTCATAATCTCTTATGGAGATCACATTCTAATGGAGGAGACATTATAGAAATAACTAAGTGTGTAAAAAATAGATACAGTATAAATCGAAGGTTATTTCAGAGGGAAGGGGGGAAGTGAAAGATGGGGACCTGAAAATCCTGCAGAAGGTAGGGTTTGACCTGATTCTTGAAGGAAGCCAAAAAAAGAAAGAGGCTAGTTGATGTCTCTTAGAAGATCTTGGATGTTGAAATGGTACCCCAAATTCTACAACTGATCCTCACATACTCTGAAACTTCTCTTAACCTTATTTGTCCATTCATTTGAATTTTCCATAATAAATGCTTGGTATCAAATGATTGAAAAACTTTTATTAAGTGCTTACTGGATGCTAAATACCCTGGTAAGAGCAGGGGGTAACAAGACAGAGGAACATCAAACTCAAGACCCCTACTCATAGGGGAATGGCCTAGTGTAGTGTTGGCCAGGAAAGGGCTTTAAGGTCTGGGAACTCTCTTAGGCTAGAGGTGACACATACTATCCATGACACTCCTGTGCCGTGTACCAGATTAAGATGTAATTGGGAAATACTTAATAAAATAACTATACAATAAAATGTAGACAATGTCAGTTTGTGGGGTTTTTATAATCAATGAGCAGCCCTCAGGGAACTGGTCATCAGAGTGGAACGACTGAGCAGTTTACCTTCCAGAGGCAATAGGGGTGTTGATGAAATCACACTTCTCTCATCTAGAGGTGGAAAAAAGGAGAGGAGAGGAGAGGAGAAAAGAGTACTTGTTGCACAAAGAAGAGGAGGCTGCTTGATCCCCAGGAATGCTGAGCTCAGATGAATGGCTCCTAGGTATAATGTCTGGAGATTTGGATTGGAGGGTGGAGTGACAGAAGGCTGTAGGTCAGCCGGATGGATTGGCAGTTGGGCTGGGGGTGGACAATGGCCAGGTGAAGAGGAGGCTTAACATTCATCTCAAGTTAGTAGTACCTTTCCCCATACCCCACTCCACCCACGCCCCACCCCCACCCCCACCCCCATCCCTGACCCTGTCCCCTCTCTCTAGTACTTTGAACAACTTCGTGTGTGTGTGTGTGTGTGTGTGTGTGTGTGTGTGTGTGTGTGTGTGTGTGTGTGTGTGTACTTTGTGTGCACTTATCCCTATTCATGTTATATGTCCCCAGGGGAATGTAAACTCTCCCGAGGTCAGAGACTTTGGTTTTTCTTTTCAGCATAGTGCCAAAAACCATTTTTATATGAAATAGATTTCATTATCTCAAAGTCTCAAAGAAAACTGCTTTGTGCGACTTCACAGGTTTGTCAGAATCAGTGAAGAGACACTTCCCCGAAGCTCAGAGATGTAATCAACTATTCTTTTGAGAGTGTGCTAGCAGCGAATTAAAATGGGGCTAATTGAGTTAGGGTGGAACCATATAAAGCCTTAAATAAGAACCAGGGCAGAATCTTTCTTCTTGGAAACAGAGGAGCTCCAAGAACAGGGAAAGACCCAAATCAGAGGCATCAGAAAGGTGAGTGGTTACTTCTGGAAATGTTGGTTTTTTAGTGTATCGAAATAGCTATTCTATTTTGCGTAATTTGCAAGCCTTAATATGAAAGTGTTATTATCAGTCATGCCACTTTTGTCAAGGACTTAGGGATTCAAAGAGATGCTCTGTAACATTATGGAGGTTATTGTTGTGGAGTCATTTCAGTTGCAGTCTTTGTGACTCCATTTGGGGTTTTCTTGGCAAAGATACTGGAATGGTTTGCCATCTCCTTCTCTAGCTCATTTTTGTGTTTTCTTTCACAACATGACTAACATGGAAATATGTTTTACATGATTGTACATATATAACCTACATCAAATTGCTTACAGTCTTAGAGAGGGGGTAGTTAAGAGAGGAAGAGGGAAAATTTGGAACTCAAATTTTTAAAAAATGAATGTCAAAATTTGTCTTTACATAAAATTTAAGAAAACACAGGGAAATACATATGAAGGGGGGGGAAACACTTGGGAAAAATAAAGTGTCTGAGGCCAGATTTGAATTCAGGAAGGGGAGTCTTCCTGACTCTAGGCCCAACACCTTATTCACTGTATTATCTAGCTGTTTATGTACTATTTGAGAATATCTAGTGACTGGGAGAGACTGAGGGAGAGCAGTACAGCTGAGTGGTAGATGCTTCATTATATATTATTTTTGCTATTATTGTATTTTTTAAAATTCTGTGCCAAGAATAAAAGTACTGTATACAAAATGCTTTATTATACATGATCTAATTTTATCTTCACAACAACCTTGTGAAATAGGTATCCATTAAAATTAGACCCCTTTTACAGATGAGGGAATTTTAGTCTTAGAAAGGTTAGCTGACTTTTCCAGGGACACACAACTAGTATCTGAGACAGGATTTGAACCAGATCTTCTTGACTCTATGTCCAATATTCTATTAAATAAATCACTTTGCCTGGTTCTGCTCCTGCCTGTGATAGACATTCAGGGGTAATTTTCCTTGAATTTTCAGTTGCTCAGAGAAAAGTCTCAGGTTTGTCTTTCTCACCTGTATCCATGAAATGGATTTGTCTAGCTCAATAAAGACTGTGATATTATATTAACTCAGTGTTATGAACTAACTAATCCTTCTCTTTGTTCTCTTTCTTTTTAAGAATCATGGCCTCATATTTTACTTCAAGTATTTCAGAAGAGATGATATGCTCTGTCTGCCTAGATTTCTTCATAAGTGCCATGTCTATAGAATGTGGTCACCATTTCTGTGAAGACTGTATCCTCCACTACATTTATTCAGCTAATGGGGGCAGTTTTAAATGTCCTGTATGCCGGAAAGTTTGTTTTATCAAGAATCTCTGGCCCAATCAACAACTGTCAGCTGTAGCACAGTCCTTCAGACTGCTCCAGCCTCACTTAAGGAGGAGCCTGAATCAGAAAAAAATAATCAAGACAAAATTCCATGGTAAGTAGAGCAACCTGTGTGACAGTGATAACTTGGTGAATGAGTTGGTTTTATGTCTGGTTATCTGGAAATACAGCCCATTAACACCCTCCTCTCTTTCCCCACCCTGCCCCCAGCCTATTCCAAAGAAGTAAGTGCCATTTTTAGGTACTACCTCAAGACTGCTCCCAGCATTTTTTCCCTGCTTCTTTATTGAGACCTCTTTTACACAAGGGACATTACCTTTTTGAAATTCTGAGCTTTTCTGTCCAAGTCAAGTCAAGTCAAGTAAAAAACCATTTGTAAAGCACCTTTTATGGCTCTGGCACAGTACAAAGTACAGGGGACAAAAAGAAAGGCAAAAACTAGTCCTTACTGTCAAGGAACTCACCATCTAATGGGAAAAATAACATGCAAATATCTATGAGGAAGGATAGAAGGGGTCAGGTGGAGAGAGGGGTTAGACAGTTAGGAGAAGGAGAGTGTACAATGTTATAAAAATCTGGAGGTTATAAAGATTATCCAAGAGAAGAGGGAAATCAACAGTGTCAAAGGAGGCAGAGAAGCCAGGAAAGATGAAAATAGAGGGGAAATCTTTCAGTTTGACCATTAAGAAATCATTGGTAACTTTGCAGTTCCAGTTGAATGATGGGGTCAGAAGCCATACTGCTGAGAATGAAGAGAGTGAGAGGAAAGGAAGTGAAGGAACTGATTGTAGCCAGGCTTCAAAAGGAATTTAGCCATAAAAAAAGAGAAATACAGAATGCAATCTAGCAGGCATGGATGCTCAAGTGAGGGATTTTTGAGGATGGGGAAGGCATGGATGTTATAGGAATCAGGGAATCAGTCCGTAGACTGAAAGAAATTGAAGATTACTGTGAGAGTGGGGATGATAAAGGGGGAAATCTGCTGGAGGAAATAGAATGGAATGGGATCTTTTTTCTTATAAGGAAATGAGGTTTTGTTTATACTGAAATACCAGACTCCCTTGATGGGGAGCAGAATATGCATATGGAGGGTGTTAAAGGGAACAGTATCATGACAAAGAGAAACTGAGGCACAAAATTCTAAGCATGATTAATTTATTAGGATGGCTAGCATATGCTAATAAATTGGATCCAAGACTCCTCAGTAGTCAAGGATGAATCTGACAGAGCAACTTTGTTTTTTATAGTATTTACATAGGGACTATACAGATGTATTTAACCACCTGATTAGTTGTAGCTACTTATATCAGTTCCTCACCAGGTAAACCAACATTACCCGACTAACATCCTTTCAAAAGCCCTGTGGTGGACAAACATCCTATCACCAGATTGACTCATACTCCCTCATTGTCAGCAAAAGCTCACAGGTTAGAATTTTTGTGGTTGGACTTTAGACCACAAGAATAGAAAAATTAAACTTAAAATTTTTACTAATAGGGCCTATACAATCAAATCTGAACTTGATTCACAAATGTTAATTCTGGCTAGGTACAGTTCTCAATCAATAATTAATCATGAAATATCAATTTTCAGATTTCACAGTAGGCAAGTTACAGGGTAATGGGATCTCAAACTCAAGGGGGGGGGCAACCAATGCATGGTAGATTGATCATTAATACATAATAAATTGCAAATAATACAAAGTGAAGTGAGATGTCAATTTGCAATTCCACAAGGGTGAAAATAAGACTAGATATCGTATTGATTAAGGCTGTCTTGGGTTGGAACAGTCTAGTGGGTCTTGGGAGTGCCACAGAGTGTCTAAGAACAAAATTATCTGGCCTAAATGCCAGAAGAAGGTGGCTTAGTCTTTCCAACTGCTCAAGTGACACGTGATGAATAGGCTGAAATTTAGAGAAGTGAACTTCATTTCTTAACTTCTCTCTCCAGTGGGGAGAGGAATGTCTGCGAATGTGTAGTCCTAGACTCTTCCTCCCACCCATTTCCAGTTCTCTGGTTTCTAGCAACCAGACGGTACTATAAAAAGTGAAGGCACTAGTTGTTTAGACTTAGACACCATTGACAGTAGTGAAACATGTGAAATTTGCATCTTAAGATGTTACTATGATGCCTAATCTCAGTGAGGCCATCTTTAGCTAACAGAAAGAATCTTTTATGGAGGTGAAGCCTGAATGCCCTAAAACATTAGATAAAACTCCAAACTCCATTGAATCTAATTAAATTCTTGTATTAGAATATGGGCCTACTTCCATCTACTTGATGCACCTCTGAATCTTCAGGGATACTTTGGCCTTACAGTGACCCTTTTAAGTAGTGCTGTGCATGGAAAATGACCCCCTGAGTCCCTAAAGCTACATGAGGTGTTGGGCTTCTTCTACTCAGTGCCTTCTCAGTATCCATGAAGACCTTAGCCATTCTCTTTCAATAAAAAGGGTCAATAGACCCCTGGTTGCTCTAGTTGGGGACTTTCATATGCTAACTCCTTAGAACTGTTCATATTTCTGTTTCTCTAGAGGAAATCAGTCTGGATCCTGAAACTGCCCATCCTGGAATCATCATATCCACAGATATGAAAACAATGAGAGAAAGAGATTCATGGAAGGAATTGCATTGTACTGTGGAGAGATCTGATCTATGTGGTCCGGTTCTATCGGCTCAGAGCTTCGAGTCTGGAAGACATTATTGGGAGGTGACAGTGGGAAACAGTTCTGCTTGGGATGTTGGTCTTTGTAAGAACTCTGTAAAAAGAATTGGAGAGGTTTCACCATCTTCTTCTAATGGATACTGGCTTTTGAGTCTAAGACAAAATAACTATATAGTCTGTACCACACCTAGGACCAGAATTTCCTTAAAAGAAAAACTCAACAAAGTAGGGATCTTTTTGGATTATGAGGCAGGAGACATAGTGTTTTATGATGCAGACAGTAGATGCCACATCTATACATTCACCAGCTCCTTTTTAGAGCCTCTCTGGCCTCTATTTTCCATTGGCCTCTACTCCAAGAATGAAAATATTCTAACTATCGACCCAATATCAGATGAGGCTGAAGAAACCACAGAGCATGATAATGATGACAGTGAGGATACCACTTGCTTTATGACACTTCCTGATACTTCCTCCAGATGGAAATCCCATTCCCCAAACCACATATATTCCCCAAACCACATATATGATTTTATTGTTCCTATGTTGTGATGTACTTCATTTTGGGAGCAGGGAGAAATTTGCCTTATTTTGTAACACTCAGACAATGAACTCATACTAGCGGAAGATCAGCATAAGACATATTGATAGTCCACAGGTGAAAGACAGAATATGTTCAATAAACTATGTGAGTTTAGAAAATTCAAGAATGAGGAAGTTGATTTCCAAAAGACATGGGTAGAAGGAACAATGACCTACCAAAGAATCAAAAATAAACATAACAAATTATAAAGATCAAGTGGAACCCAAATGAAGTTATGAAAAAGATGCCCCCAAACTACAACTTGATGGCAATGGGAAGTCCACAGATGTTACACACTACACGTTATGGGGCTTTCTCAATCTATTGACTAATTATGCAGATTTCTTTCTCTCTCTCTCTCTCTCTCTCTCTCTCTCTCTCTCTCTCTCTCTCTCTTCTTCTTCTTCTTCTTCTTCTCTTCTCTTCTTCTTCTTCTTCTCTCTCTCTCTCTCTCTCTCTCTCTCTCTCTCTCTCTCTCTCTCTCTCTCTCTCTCTCCAAACCAAACAAACCACTGTGTTTTTTGGGATGGCTCTGGGGAAGTGGTAAGGGGGTGGGGGAGAGAACCATATGTGGGATACTATGGTCATGTAAACAAAAACATCAATAAAATTTTAATGGAATTTCTTTTAAATGAAAGACTTGCTTGAACCAATGCAGAGTGAAATAAGCAGAACCAGGGAAAGTTTATTCCCTATCATCAGTATTATAAAAATGAACAGTTTTGAAGATTCTTATAAACTGATTAAAAATGAAATGAATGGAACCAAGAAAAAGATTTATACAATAAAAAACATTGTAAAAAAAGGGGGGGGAGCAGTTAGGTGGTGCAGTAGATACAGAAGCCTTGGAGTCAGGACCTGAGTTCAAATCTGGCCTCAGACACTTGACACTTACTAGCTGTGTGACCCTGGGCAAGACATTTAGCCCTGATTGCCTCACCAAAAAAAAAAAAGGCAACTTTGAAAGCTAATGAGCTATAGTCAAGAAAATGACTATCTGATTGCAGAGGATTGGTAGTGAAATATGCTATTCATTACAGAAATGCGAAAAACTTAGGGTATAGAATGAGACAGACTTTTTTTTTATTCAGCCATTGTGGGAATTAGAATATTATTATGCATACTTGTTTCAATAAAAATTTTTCTCCAATGCAGTGGAGGGTAAGAGTGAGAAAATTGATTTCTCTTAATTTTTGAAAATAGTGATGAGGAATGTTGAAGTGTTGATTGCAATTTCAGATAACATCACTGTATTGTTAATTTTACTTCACTGTTTTTCTTTTAACAAAGTGGGAATGTTATAAATGTATTGTAAAAATGAAGTATGAATAAAACTTTTAAAATCTTCTGAATTTTGCAAATAAGATAAACAAGAAGACTATGGCAGCCATCATGGCTGACACTGGGGATTTACTTTGTTCTTAAAATTCCATTTACAGTTACAGAAACACACATTAACAAAAGTGTATATTGCTAAATTTTATGTCAAGCCATCTTACAAACCCCTGGCAGACTCTCAATTGAATATAAACAGTTCTCACATTATATAAGTTTGCATTACATAAATTTACATTATGCAAATTCTGTTTTATATAAAGAATTCTGAAAGAAATCCAAAGTTCAAAAAAAACACTTAACTTTACTGCACAATACTGTGCTCTCTCTATACTCTCTGCCCCCAAGGGAAAAAACCAAAAACAAACCCTAAAAAAAAAAACCCCTCAAATTGAAAGAACTGATGTACAGAGAGACCCTAAGCCCAGATAGAGGGCTTGCCTTGAGACCTTCCGTGCAGACACTGGGCTCAGTTGTCATAAAACATACTGCCAGCTCCTACCTACCCACCTGACCAACCTATAAGCATTTTGTTTCCCATCTGCTTTTCCCATTTGCTTTCCATCTTTACTATGAAATGACCCCTCCAGCCCCCTTCTGGATATGGCTGTCCCTAGAAACTCTGATTGTCCTTTTCCTGAAGAAAGATGTCATCCATGGAAACACATCACTCTCCCAGAGATGCACCACTCTCTCTATGCACCATATCCCTACAGATTGCCCCATGGTTAGGTCTATACCTTCCATGTATCAGTCCTCGAATGGAAGGGCTCATCACTGGGACCCCATCCTATCACCAAATTGAGATTTCTCCCATTCTTTCTGGATTTCAATTCCTCCCTTTGCTACCTCACCCACTGTCTTCTTCCTAAGAGATAACAGGAGTTATTTTCCCTTTACTTTTTAATGTTGATTTGGTTAAGGTACTTTACACATTTCCCTATATCTTCTGCCTTCTCTCTCCCTCCCATTCTGGGCTGTAATAACACACAAACTGATTTATTTGGGAGGGTGGGTTATAGGATTGATTTAATCAATAGTGTTTCAGGCCTGGTCCTCTACTCACTTCTCTCATTTAACTTCCACCTTCATTATGCCTCAAGCAAATTGAGACCAAAATTAGGTAAACATTTTGTGACATAAATTAGAAAGAACTGTTGCATTTCCTAGTGGTAGAAAATATTCATTCATGTTGTAATATGTGTGTAATATGTTATAAAAATATTCATGTTGTAAAACTTTGCTCTTTTTACTTATGCTTTTGGAGGAAGGCTCCTGTTCAAGTTGTACCACTATATAGTCCAGAAGACAAAATTGTCCTTCATATCATCGAAGTTACTAGCTATTTTCTATTATGATGTGATCATGTGATAACAAAAATGCACTCAAATGTACCCCTTCGCTTTAAAATGTACCTTGTATTTTGCCCTAAAAGAATTTTAAATTTGTTTAAAGAGCAAAGCAATTTGTAGTAAATGTGTCAATGATGTCAACTACAATAATTTGCTTGTTCATGGACACTTGGGGTGGGGCTCCTTCTATTTGGAACCAGAGAAGGAGAGCCCCCTTCATAGCTAACCTGAGAATGAAGGTTATTACTGAAAGTTCAAGAGAAGATTTCCAGAGACCAGAAAACTACCTGAAACATCTGGGATTCAAGAAAAAATGTTATGATTAGATAGACATTGGGAGTGGGTTACAAAGACACAAGATTTGTTGTTATATTGATTACCATTATTGTATTCCTTTGGCCTTTGTTTCATAGTGTTTGTTTGTCTTGATTACCTTGGTGACATACACATCTCCCTTCTCAAAATTAGTCCACTGTGAGCCCTCTAAGTAGTTTGATCTGTAACCTGACTTATGTAATTTTGATTATGAGTAAGTGAAAAACCTTATAGATTTGGCTTATAGATAAGTGATCCATGGGGGGGAGTGGGCTTCCTACTCTACAAATCAAAAGGGGGAATTGAGGAGATTAGGTTAGCAAGTGATTAATTGCTGGAACTGAGTGAACCACTCTGATTCCATCTTATGACTCAGTTTTGGAGCTAGATCAGTTCCCTTTCTATTCAATTATGGATCTAGTCCAACTTATTGCACTGCTTGAACCCAGTTCTGGGTTGCTGAGAAATTGGACCACCTCTACCTGCTGTTTAGAGGCCATTAACTAAGGACCTAGGTTATGCTGACCAGAAACTCAGTCAGATCCAAAGACTGATGTAAGGAGTTTTCTCATAATTGTATATCTCAAGCAACTCATATATCTTATCTGAAAACTGGCTTCATACTGATCAATCAGTTATTATTTCCATGTTCCTTTGATTGTTTACAGACACGTAGAGGGAGTAGGATACTCCCTTTTCTGATTTCAGGGAATTGCTCCCATTCTCTCTCCCCCTCCCAACTTGGAAAGTCCTAGTCTTTCATCCAAAAAGAAATCAGATTATCTAATGTTTCCTTTTAATTAATTGCCTTATTTAATTAATTGGGTTTTTTGTTTTTTTTGTTTTTTGTTTGGCTAGGCAATAGGGTTAAGTGACTTGCCCAGGGTCACACAGCTAGTTAGTGTTATGTGCCTTGAGGCTGGATTTGAATTCAGGTCCTCCTGACTCCAGGGCCAGTGCTCTATCCACTGCGCCACCTAGCTGCTCCATTAATTGTTTTTAACGTATAAAACTGTCTCCCTATGTATTTGGGGTCCAGCTCTAAGCTGAGGAAGGGGCCTGGTGCTGATTTGTTAGGCAATTGGAATGCATTGGTTAATGAATCAATATGCTTGGAAGATCAAACCTTTGTTTCCTTGATGATTTCATCTTTCACGGGCCACAGCTCAAAGAGCACAGCCCACCAGGGTTGCTCTGAGAGCCTGAAAAGTTATACTATTTACCTTTCTAGAGACCTAGTTGATGTTTCCCAGAATATCTGTGAGGTTGAAGTGGCCCCGGGTCTCCAACTGATCCTCATACACTCTGAACCTTCCCCTGACCTTATATTCTGTTAAATGTCCATTTGTTAAATGCCTAGCTTCCTTCAGCTCACTTGTGGCTCCAAGAAGCTATAGCATGTGCAGTGGCCACACCCTGGTAAAACCATCTTGGCATACAGGCTAAACAAGGTTGAGGGTAACCTGACAAGTCTCAAACCTGTTGTGAGTTCGGGGGATGTGTACCCCAAGCTGTGAGGACTTCCCTGGCAGAATGGGCAGATGAGACCAATTTGTTCCAATGGCTGTGAAGGCAGCTGAAGCAGATGCTGAGGAGTCCTTAGAGTTTGGTCAGACACTGAAGACATCAAGGTCATCTACTGAATACCAGGCCATTGTCAGTGACTTTTGTCTTGCTATCAGACTTTGATGACTTTGATGACTTTGGAAGAGAGGGTAAGGCTGACAACTTTGTGCAACTCTGCCTCACTTAAATCCAATTCACATGGAGGTCAAGATATCACTCCGGCATGCCATTGGTCCTCTTCAAAAATGAAGGAGGAACAAACAAGAGATAGGGAACATTATGAAATGCAAAATGGATAATTTTGATTACATTAAATTAAGAAGTTTTTGCACAAACAAAGCCAATGCAACAAAGATTAGAAAGGAAGCAGAAAGTTGGGAAACAATTTTTTTACCGCCAGTGTCTCTGATAAAGGTCTCATTTGTAAAATAAATAGAGAACTGAGTCAAATACATAGGAACATAGTCATTTCCCAATTAATAAATGGTCAAAGGATATGAACAGGCGGCTTTCAGATGAAGAAATTAAAACTATCTATAGCCATATGAAAATGCTCTAAATCACTATTGATTAGAAAAATGCAAATTAAAACAACTCGAAGGTACCACCTTATACCTATCAGATTAACTAATATGATAAAACAGGAAAATGATAAATGTTGGAGAAGACATAGGAAAATTGGAACACTAATGCATTGTTGATGGAGTTGTGAACTGATCCGACCATTCCGGAAAGCAAATTGGAACTATGCTCAAAGGGCTATAAAAATGTGCATATCCTTTGATCCAGTAATACCACTACTACATCTGTAT